AAAAAATTTTGAAAGCAACATGGGAAAATCAACAAATAACATACAAAGGAATCCCCATAAGATTAACAGATGATCTTTCAGCAGAAACTCTGCAAGCCAGAAGGGAGTGGTAGGACATATTTAAAGTGATGAAAGAGAAAAACTGACAACCAAGATTAGTCTACCCGGCAAGGATTTCATTCAGATTTGACGGAGAAATCAAAAGCTTTACAGACAAGCAAAAGCTAAGGGAATTCAGCACCACCAAACCAGCTTTACAACAAAATGCTAAAGGAACTTCTCTAAGCGGAAACACTAGAGAAGAAAAAGACCCACAAAAACAAACCCAAATCAATTAAGAAAATGGTAATAGGAACATACATATTGATAATAACCTTGAATGTAAATGGATTAAATGCTCCAACCAAAAGACACAGACTGGCTGAATGGATACAAAAACAAGTCCCTTATATATGCTGTCTACAAGAAACCCACTTCAGATCTAGGGACACATATAGAGTGAAAGTGAGGGGATGGAAAAATATATTCCATGCCAATGGAAATCAAAAGAAAGCTGGAGTATCAATACTTATATAAGATAAAATAGTTTTAAAATAAAGACTGTTACAAGAGATAAGGAAGGGCACTACATCATGATCAAGGGATCAATCCAAGAAGAAAATGTAACAACTATAAATATTTATGCACCCAACATAGGAACACCTCAATACATAAGGCAAATATTAACAGCCATAAAAGGGGAAATCGACAGTAACACAATAGTAGTGGGGGATTTTAACACCCCACTTACACCAATAGGCAGATCATCCAGAGAGAAAATAAATAAGGAAACACAAGTTTTAAAAGACACAATAGACTAAAGAGACCTAATTGATATTTTTAGGACATTCCACCTGAAAGTGGAAAAATACACTGTCTTCTGAGGTGCACATGGAATGATCTCCAGAATAGATCACAAATCAAGCCTTGGAAAATTTAAGAAAATTGAAATCGTATCAAGCATGTTTTCTGATCACAATGCTATGAGATTAGAAATCAATTACAGGAAAAAGAACAGTAAAACACAAATACATGGAGACTAAACAGTGTGCTGCTAAATAACCAAGAGATCAATGAAGAAATCAAAGAAGAAATAAAAAAAATACCTAGAAACAAATGACAACGAAAACACAATGGTCCAAAACCTATGGGACACAGCTTAAGCAGTTGTAAGAGGGAAGTTCATAGCAATTCAAGCTCACCTCAAGAAACAAGAAAAATCTCAAATAAACAATCTACCTTACACCTAAAGCAACAGAAAAAGAACAAAGAAAACCCAAAATTAGCAGAAGGAAAGAAATCATAAGATCAGAGCAAAAATAAATGAAATAGAAACAAAGAAAACAATAGCAAAGATAAACAAAACTGATAAACCTTTAGCCAGACTTATCAAGAAAAAAAGGGAGAGGACTCAAATCAATAAAATTAGAAATGAAAAGGGAGAGATTACAACTGACACCACAGAAATACAAAAGATTATAAGAGACTACTACAAGCAACTCTATGCCAATAAAATGGACAACCTGGAAGAAATGGACAAATTCCTGGAAAAGTACAACTTTCCCAGATTGAACCAGGAAGAATTAGAAAACATAAACAGACCAATCACAGGTTATCAAATTGAAACTGTAATTAAAAATATTCCAACAAACAAAAGTCTAGGAACAGATGGCTTCACAGGCAAATTCTATCAAACACTTGGAGAAGAGTTAACACCTATCCTTCTCAAAATCTTCCGAAAAATTGTGGACGGAGGAACACTCCCAAATTATTCTACAAGGGCCGCCATCACCCTGACACCAAAACCAAACAAACATCACAAAAAAAGAAAATTAGAGACCAATATCACTGATGAACATAGATGCAAAAATCCTCAACAAAATAGTAGCAAACAGAATCCAACAGCACATTAAAAGAATCATACACCATGATCAAGTGGGATTTATCCCAGGGATGCAAGGATTCTTCAATATACACAAAACAATGTGATACACCATATTAACAAATTAAGGAATAAAAACCATATGATTATCTCAATAAATGCAGAAAAACTTTTGGCAGAATTCAACACCCATTTATGATAAAAACTCCAGAAAGTGGGCATAGAGGGAACCTACCTCAACATAATAAAGGCCATATATGACAAACCCACAAAAGACATCATTCTCAATGGTGAAAAACTGAAAGCATTTCCTCTAAGATCAGGAATAAGACAAGGAAGTTCACTCTTGCCACTATTATTCAACATAGTATTGGGAGTCCTAGCCACAGCAATCAGAGAAGAAAAAGAAATAAAAGGCATACAAATTGGAAAAGAAGTAAAACTGTGACTGTTTGCCGATGACAAGATACTCTACATAGAAAATTCTAAAGATGTCACCAGAAAACTACTAGAGCTAATCAGTGAATTTCGTAAGGTTGCAGGATACAAAATTAATGCACAGAAATCTCTTACACTCCTATACACTAACAATAAAAGATCAGAAAGAGAAATTGAGGAAACAATCCGATTTACCATCTCAACAAAAAAAAATGAAATACCTAGGAATAAACCTACCTCAGGAGGCAAAAGTCCTGTACTCAGAAAACTGTAAAACACTGATGAAAGAAATCAAAGATAACATAGACAGATGGAGAGGTATACCGTGTTGTTGGATTGGAAGAATCAATATTGTGAAAATGACTATACTACCCAAAGCAATCTACAGATTCAATGCAATCCTTATCAAATTACCAGTGGCATTTTTCACAGAACTAGAACAAAAAATTCCACAATTTTGTATGGAAACACAAAAGACCCCAAATAGCCAAAGCAATCTTGAGAAAGAAAATTGGACCTGGAGGAATCAGGATCCCCAACTTCAGACTATACTACAAAGCTACAGTAATCAAGATAGTATGGTACTGGCACAAAAACAGAAATATAGATCAATAGAACAGGATAGAAAGCCCAGAGATAAACCCACACACATAGGGTCACCTTGTCTTTAATAAAGGAGACACGAATATACAATGGAGAAAACATAGCCTCTTCAATAAGGGGTGCTGGGAAAACTGGACAGCTACATGTAAAAGAATGAAATTAGAACACACTCTAACTCCAGATACAAAAATAAACTCAAAATGAATTAAAGACCTAAATGTAAGGCCAGACACTATAAAACGCTTAGAGGAAAACATAGGGAGAACGCTCTATGACATAAATCACAGCAAGATCCTTTTTGACCCACCTCCTAGAATAAGGGAAATAAAACCAAAAATAAACAAATGGGATCTAATGAAACCTAAAAGCTTTTGCACAACAAAGGAAACCGTAAACAAGATGAAAAGACAACCCTCAGAATGGGAGAAAATATTTGCAAATGAAGCAACTGACAAAGGATTAATCTCCAAAATATACAATCAGCTCATGCAGCTCAACATCATAAAAACAAACAACGCGGCTTCCCTGGTGGCGCAGTGGTAGAGAGTCTGCCTGCCGATGCAGGGGACATGGCTTCATGCCCCTGTCTGGGAAGATCCCACATGCTGCGGAGCGGCTGGGCCCGTGAGCCATAGCCACTGAGCCTGCATGTCCGGAGCCTGTGCTCTGCAACGGGAGAGGCCACAACAGTGTGAGACCCATGTACTGCAAAAAAAAAAAACCAAACAACCCAATCCAAAAATGGGCAGAAGACCTAGATAGACATTTCTCCAAAGAAGACATACAGATAGCTAACAAATACATGAAAATATGCTCCACGTTACTAATCATTAGAGAAATGCAAATCAAAACCAAAATGAGGTATCACCTCACACTGGTCAGAATGGCCATCAGCAAAAAATCTATTAACAATAAATGCTGGAGAGGGTGTGGAGAAAAGGGAACCCTCTTGCACTGTTGGTGGGAATGTAAATTGATAGAGCCACTATTGAGAACAGTATGGAGGTTCCTTAAAAAACTACAAAGAGAACTACCATATGACCCAGCAATCCCACTACTGGGCATATACCCTGAGAAAACCGTAATTCGAAAAGGGTCATGTACCACAATGTTCATTGCAGCACTATTTACAATAGCCAGGACATGGAATCAACCTAAGTGTCCATTAACAGATGAATGGATAAAGAAGATGTGGCACATATATATATTGGAATATTAGCCATAAAAAGGAACGAAACTGAGTTATTTGTGCTGAGGTGCATGGACCTAGAATCTTTCATACAGAGTGAAGTAAGTCAGAAAGAGAAAAACAAATACTGTATGCAATGCATATATATGCGATTTAAAAAAGCGGTACAGATGAACCTAGGGGCAGGGCAGGAATAAAGACGCAGACTTAGAGAACGGACTTGAGGACACAGTGGAGGAAGAGGAAGCTGGGATGACGTGAGAGAGCAGCATTGACTTATATACACTACCAAATATAAAATGGATGGCTAGTGGGAAGCTGCTGCATAGCACAGGGAGGTCAGCTCAATGCTTTGTGATGACCTAGAGGGATGGGATAGGGAGGGTGGGAGGGAAGCTGAAAAGGGAGGGGATATGGGGATATATGTATACATATAGCTGACTCACTTTGTTGTACAGCAGAAATTAACACAATATTGTAAAGTATTTATACTCCAATAAACATGTCAAAAAAAAAAGAAAAGAAAGCAGCTACCACATGTCAGGAACTCTGCTAAGGACAAACAAAGATGACTAACAGAGTACCTGAGCTCACAGTCCAGGAATTACTGGAAGGAAAAAGTGATGGGTCATAAGAGTAAGGGAGGTAAGTCAGTACAAATGAAAAGCTGAGATTTCACTGTAGGGAA